GGGGTCGGGCGAGGCGGAGCCAGCCCTCAGGGGTCGGGCGAGGCAGAGCCAACCTTCGGTCGTTTAGGCAAGAAGTGTAGTTGCGTTCTTGTCTGTTTGGAAGCATCAACATTTGATGGTTATTAGCTCCTCCTCTTTGGGTACCCCAGTATTTGGTCCCCGATAGTGACCCCCGGCCAACTGCGTGAAACACCAGCTCTTTGGATAAAAGGGGCGGTGCACCGCTGCACCATGGTGGTGACCATGGTGGTGCCCCCCTTGGCTCAACACCAAACTCGCCAGCCTCGGGAAGAAAGCGGCGGTGGCACCGGATGCCCCATGGCGGTGCACCGCCCTACACATGGTGGTGTACACCGTCACCGGTGGTGAACACCTCCACTGCTGCTACTCTGAACTAGGGCTAGGTGGGCACCACCCTAGGGGTGGCAGTGCCATCGGACAAGGCACGACGGTGGTAGCCCCAACACTCGTTCTCGACCGAGGCCAGGCGAGCACCGCCACAGGGGTGGCGGTGCCACCCAGGTAGCACCCCGAGCCTGGTTTCGCCTCCTCTTCTTCACCAACTTTTTCACTTTTGCAAATGTGCTAACACCACCAAGTGATCACCACCTTGTGCACGTGTATTAGCTTTTCACAAACATTTTCCAAAGGATTAACACTCTTTTCACCACGTCACTAGATTCTAACACGTATGCAAAGTTAGATCGCTCAAGTAGCACTAGATGACCGATATGCAAACAAGTTTGCCCCTCTTAATAGTACAACCATCTATCCTAAACCCGGTCATAAACTTCTCTACACACCTATGACCGGTGAAATGAAATGCCCTAGGTTATACCTTTGCCTTGCGCATTCCATTCCATCTCCTCCGTCGTTGATGCAACACATGCACCAATCAATCACCAAATGATATGATACACTTCATATCATCACGTGATCACATTGGTACATCGATCTTGACTTCACTTGCTCTTCACCGTTGCTTCAGTCTATCGGCGCCAAGTCATCACTCAACTTGCCCTTCACACTTGCAACCGGTCCGTCGAGTCAAGTCATGTCTTGATCTTCTCCACCTTGATCACATGACTCAATGTCATGTCTCATGTGCAATGAGCTCCTTCATCACATGTGTGAGCTTTACAACATTTCTGAGCCTTCTTCACCGTCATGACATATGTTGCTCATACACATGTACTTGTGGACTAATCGTCTGTGTATCTCACTCAAACACATATTAGTCCACCAAGGTTGTCACTCAATAACTAAAACCAAACAAGGACCTTTCACCTACCCTGAAAGTAACTAGAGTTGCTCTTCGCGATCCTCGTGGGGTGAGCACAATCCCCCTCACAAATCCTCCTCCGGAGCATCGCACAATCTACTCGCATGTTTTAACAGAGTCACAAGCCACCAAGCCATCAAGGAGGTGGCAACCTCCAAGAGTAACAAGCACCACCGGCTTGTAACTCGAATACCTAGTGCCACTCGATGCAACCTCACAATGCAATCGCACTAGAATCGCTCACTCACTCGATTAGATGAACACTATTAAGCTCAAGTGAGTTAGAAGGCTCCCAAGCACCACCACATAAGCCACCAAGGCTCTAGTGTGCTCAGCAACCGACCAAAGGCCGGCCAACACTTCTATTTATAGCCCCATGGGATAAACTAGCCGTTACCCCTTCACTGGGCACTCTACGCACTGACCAGACGCATAGCTCGTGCACACCAGACGCGTCCGATCGCTGCATCCGATCACCGCTCGCTCGCCACATGTCACTAGCCGTTTGAACTAGCCATTGCCACCAATGGCTAACTCACCTACGCACCTGACAACATGACCGGATGCACCTCCTCGACATGACTTGACTCGCAACGATGCAGCGTCCAGTCGAGTCCAGAGAGCTCCTGGAGCCTCTTTTCTAAAACCGGACGCGTTCGGTCCCTAGTGACCAGATGCACCACCGCATCCGCTCCTTCTTGACTCAACTCAGCACGCTATGTCAACGTATGTCACCACTAACCGGACGCAGGCCCTGTGTGTCCGGTCACTTTTACTGTGCAGCGTCCGATCGAGTCAGCACTTCTGCCCACTCTTGGCCAGAATACCGGACGCGTCCGGTATCGATATCGGATGCGTCTGGTCACGATGAGAACACTGCCGCCTGAGTCAGATACCGGACGCGTCCGATCCACATGTCGGACACGTCCGATCACCCAGTGACCAGCGCTTTCAACTCCTTTTCTTCACCAACTTCTTCTCCTTTGCAAATGTGCCAACACCACCAAGTGTACACCATCATGTGCAAGTGTGTTAGCATTTCACGAACATTTTTTCCAATGGAGTTAGCCACTCAACTTGCCACGCCACTCGATCCTAGCAACGATGAAAAGTTAGATCACTCGAGTGGCACTAGATGACCGATATGCAAACAAGTTTGCCCCTCTTGATAGTACGGTCATCTATCCTAAACCTGGTCATCAACTTCTCTACACACCTATGACCGGTGAAACAAAATGCCCTAGGTTATACATTTGCCTTGCGCATTCCATTTCATCTCCTCTAATGTCGATGCAACACATGCACCAACATGATCAACAATGATATGATCCACTTCATATCGTCACGTGACCATATTGGTTCTTCGATCTTGACTTCACTTGCTCTTCATCGCTGCTTCGGTCCATCAGCGCCAAGTCATCACTCAACTTACCCTTCACACTTGCAATCGGTCCGTCGAGCCAAGTCATGTCTTGATCTTCTCCACCTTGATCACATGACTCATGTCATGTCTCATATGCAATGAGCTCCTCTATCACATGTGTGAGCTTGGCAACATCTCCGAGCCATCTTCACCGTCATGGCATATGTTGCTCACACACATGTACTTGTGGACTAATCACATATGTATCTCACTCAAACACATATTAGTCCACCTAAGGTTGTCACAAAAAATACCAAAACCAAACAAGGACCTTTCAATGTCCTGATAGGGATTAAAGAGAATAAGGCATGTAGGCATGTAGCAATTCATGGAAGGAAACAGAATAAAGAAATGTGGCAGAGAAATGAACTTAATTACCCAACACCTAGGAACTATATAGTACAAAAAGAAATCAGACCATGTTTTACTGGTTTGTATGATCAAAATGGAAGTCCACAGTTTACTCTGATCTACTTTTGGAATTTAATTTATATCAATGTCCAACACTTAATTGGATCTCTCTAAATATTTTACAACTCTGAAATCACACACGAACTGCCTAAGTAAAAGCAGGACCAACAGAAGCAGAGTGGCACACACCATTCTTTTCAGACATCATTTTCATCACTGAGAAATATACCCCGAATCCAAATTCTACCTCTCAATGTAATTAGAAATCTGCATGACTCTTCTTAAAAAATTAGTTATATGTATTTACTTTAGGCACAACGGACAATACCAATTGGAGTGACCAATTCTTTCAAAAATAATGAGGAAAAAATTCAAGCAAGAAACATTTGCACCTCTCCTCTCAATATTAGGTGGACCCTATACACCATAAATTACGTAGCAGTCATTCATGTAGATGTTTTTCTCATAGCAAGATGAGGACAGTGACTGATGTCTCTGTATATTAAAAGCTGATATGAATGATTAATGCTTTGTCTTTCCAATGGCAACAGGATTAAATTCGATTTGGCTTGGTGATGACTGCATGGAAAGACAATAGAACATTGAAGAATATGTAGTTTTGGTGATGTTACTTTTGCAATTAGACAAATGTATTAACAGTTCTCAAATATGTACACTGTGTATAGTACCCATAAGGAAATCAATTTCAGGTCAAGCTAACAATTAGCATCCTGCAATTGCGAAGGTACAAATGTACCTCGTGCTTTGAAGTGGCATCGCGACCTCGGGGAGGGGGAGGGTGGCGCGGACAACGGCGGACAGCGCGGTGTCGCCGGTGGCGGCGCCGGAGGTAGGGGATGCGCTCCGTGGGGTGGGAGCGGCGGAGGTGGGAGGACCAGAGGAGAAGCGTCGGGAGTTCAGATGTGGTAGAAGCAAACTTTTTCCCCTAGGCGGCCGCTGTGTTTATCGGGCAGAGGAAAGGAAGGTTCAAGGAGGCACCGGTGGGTGTCGGTTGAGGCAGAGATCGAATGGAGGCAGCTTAATGGACACCAACAAATCGATGGCAGGAATATCACAGTGACGTGGCCGGCTGTGTTTGCAGATTTGGTATACAGCAATAAGGAATTTCAGGTCAAGCTATCCTATAATTGCAAAGGTACAAATGTACCTTGTGCTTTGAGGTGGCATTTGTGACCTCTGGGAGGGGGAGGGTGGCGCGGACAACGGCGGGTAGCGCGGCGTCACCAGTGGCGGCGCCGGAGGCAGGGGATGCGCTCCGCGGGGTGGGAGGACCGGAGGAGAAGCGTCGGGAGTTCAGATGTGGCAGAAGAGAATTTTTTTTTTCCCTGGGCGGTCGCTATGTTTATCAGGCAGAGGAAAGGGAGGTTCGAGGAGGCACCGGTGGGTGTCGGTTGAGGCACAGATCGAACGGTGGCAGCTTAATGGACACCAACAAATCGATGGCACGAATATCGTAGTGATGTGGTCAGCTGTGTTTGCAAATTTGGTATACAACAATACGGAATAATGGTAGATTAAATACACTCAAGTGTGGTCTTGTTGTAAAGCTTTTGTTGTAAGGGATACAATGCTACAATTATAATTTACTTTGGATACACGATTTGGAAACTATGACATTTATTAGAACGTCATTTTTTTCAAAAAAACAATATGCAAAGCTACTTCCTTCTATGTCATGCTTCTACTGCGCAGTTCTACGTCATGTTTTTGCTGCGCATGCTGTGCACGCACCGCTTCACGTGACACCGCCGGCAGGTTTCGGCGCAAGGAGGAAGCAGAGCGGATAAAAACAAGGAGAACTCATCGCTGCAGCCGCATCGCGCCGCGCCCACAGTTTTCCCTAGATTGGGAAACGAGCAGGAAATGACGATCGGCGGCGCCGACGACGGCGCCGGCATCGGAGCGAAGAAGCAGAGGGTGGATGAGCAAGGGGACGGAAGCGAGGCCGTGGGTGCGGATCCGATCCCGGTGGACCGCATCTCGGCGCTGCCGGACGACCTGCGGCGGCGCATCCTGACGCACCTCGCCCTCAAGGAGGCCATCCGCACAGGGGCACTCGCGCGCGGGTGGCGCGACCTGTGGGACCGCGGCTCCGTCGAGGTGTGCCTCCGCTCCCGCAACGACCCACGGAGGGAGCTGGGCGCGTTGGAGCAGGAGCCGCCACCGCGCCTCCGCATGGACCGTTTCTCCCTCGTCGCCGAGACCTCCTGGCTCAAGTCCTCGGAGCTCAAGCGCTTCATCAGGTACGCCGCAGATTGCCGCGTCGAGGATCTCCACGTCGAGACGAGGAAGAGCAGCAAGAACAAGCTCAACTTCCACCTGCCACTGTCGAGCCGGACCCTCGTGTGCCTCTCGCTCCGCCGCATCAGCATCTCCAACATGTACTACAGGGGCGCCCGGCCGTTCCGCGCTCTCGAGGCAATCCGGCTCTACTCAGTCTCCATTAAGGTGGGTTTCACAACGATGATGGAGCTGTGCCCTAGCCTCGTCACTCTCGACCTGCGCGGCTGCGACATCCGCTGTGACATCCGCTGCGACCGCGGCACACGCTTATTGTTAGTGCCGCGGACCGTCAAGAGTGTCACCGTTGCGGAGTGCGACGGGTATTCCAAAATGTGGCTGATGCTCGCGCGTAACCTCCGCTCCTTCCGCTACAGTGGCGACGTCTGCCGCGGTCTCTTCTACCTTCCATGGGAGGGCAGCGTGCTTGCTGATCTCTATATTCGGTCTACCAACCTGCTAGTATCAAACCAGCACAATATCGATAGTTTGAGATTTTCTATCCCCAAGAATATACCAGCCTCAACGTTCTCACCATCTGTTGCAATGCCCTCCAGGTTTTTTCTCCATACTGATTTATTTAATTTGGACTTTTGCTTTATCACCTACTCCCTCCATTCCAAACGAGTAAAGTCCACTGACCGATCCTCAAACTTTTTTGGTTATACCATCCCGGTCCCTAAATTTACAAATTGTTTATTTAGGTACTCAAACTTGTTCGGTTAGAGCATCCCAGTTCCTAAAGTTGCAAATCATTCATTTGGGTTCTCAATTTTGTTCAGTTGTGTCATCGTAGTCCCTAAACTCGCAAATTGCCCATTTAGATCCGAATAGACATTGAGTACATAAATAGGCAGCTAGCAAGTTTAAGGACTAAAATGACATAGTCAAACAAGCTTATGAACCTAAACATACAAGTTGCGAGTTTAGGGACCTGACATAGGCAAACAAGTTTGAGAACATAAATGAACGATTTGCTAGTTTAGGGACCCGGATGACATAGTCAAAAATGTTTGAGGACCGCCAACGGACTTTACTCATTCCAAATTATCATACGTTTTGGATTTTCTAGATATATAGCTTTTTCTGTGCATTTAGATATAAATTATATCTAGATATATAGCCAAAGCAATATCTAGGAGAGTCAATACGTCTTGTAAGTTAGAACAGAGGGATCATCACCTAACTTATAAGTTACTTGATTTCCCATAGAACAAAAAGAGAAAGAAAACATATATGCTTAGTTGACCATACCTTTTATTTTAGGTTGCATCGTATTCCTTGCCAAGTAATGGTGTCACGTTGCCTAGTCGCAACTTAAACAGTTTGAGAGAGCTGCAACTGCTCATGTTAGACATGGAAGCTGTCAACCTAGCTGACCTCTACGTGTTCCCCAAGACCTGTCGATGTCCTAATCTGGAAAGGCTCTTTGTGCAGGTTAACACCTTCAACGCCTTCCTAATTTCTTTGCATAATAACCATCCTATATTTTTATTTCATCTACATCTGTGTTCTTATCAAATTGTGATTCTTCTGAATGATTATGGTTCATCTGTGTAGCTCCCGTCCTTCAGTAATGAGCCCGTGGAAGGTCCTATTGATGAGGTGAGGGAAGAGCCACCTCAGGATGGCTTTGACGACCTTGTGATGGTAAAGGTCATGAACTTCAATTGGCGCCCTACTGAGGTGCAACTAGTGAGTTTTTTGTTGAGGAAAGCTAGCTCTCTGCGTAAACTATTAATAGTTTCTCCTAATGTCACTCCGCTGGATTTTCCTGGTGTACAAGAAGCAGACCTTTTTCTTCTGAAAGAAGCTTTAGCCAATGGTAAGATAATGTTGAGTGAGTCTGACGATGCTACAATTCAACCATATCATTCTGAGGCCTTTATCAAATTCTAGTTTTCAATGACAAGGTGAGTCAGAGCCCTATGGCTAGCAATATCAAACTATTAGGGAATTATCCTTTTTGTTGTAAACTCTTATAGATACGATGCATTATGAAGAAACCTATAATGTTATATTCTTAATTTCTTTCTAGAGTGTTAATGCTCGCAAAGTAAAAAATCATGTATTCCAGTTCCAGTATGTGCTTGCATTGCCTTCAGTCCCGATACCATATACATCAGGTGTTGACACATTATCCCTATATATGAATCAGAGCAGCTTCATATTTGATTGGTTTTAAAAGAGAGAGAGTAACTTCATATCATAGCACATACTGCAAGTTTTTCGCTTGCTTGGTAATCCAAAATAGAGTTTGGACCTCCGACAGACTAGCAACGCGTGGCTGGCTAAACAACATCTTCTGTCCACTATGTCGACACACGCATGAAACAGCTCACCACTTGTTAGCTGAGTGCTGCTATGTAAAGAGGATCTGGAACTTGTTAGCGGACTATGTCTCATTGCATCATATAGCAGCCACCAACTGGACTCCAATGAATCGGTACAATGCTTGGTGGACTAATCTAGCACACACATATGATGTGCAGAAAAAGCTTTGAGAACTTCCATTATTCTAGTGGTTTGGGAGATATGGAAAGAAAGAAATCAAAGAGTGCTCTAGCACAAAGAGCTATCTGCCATTTTGCTCTTTGAAAAAATCAAGGAGGAAGCTAGAACTTGGGCAATAGCGCAGGGGCAAAGAAACTATCTAAGATCATGCCTCTCTATGGTTGATCCTTTGTTATTAATAGTTTTTGTTTTTCTTTGCCCTTTATGGTTGTACCTTCTTCTCTAGCATCATCTCATGCCAGTTTGTTCAAATAAAATTTCACAATTTAAATGAGGACGAATTAATTTGTGGATTAGGAATAGTGCGTAAATGTTATATCTTTATCTACTAGAAAGTGTTTATTGGATAAGCAACAAACCTGCATTTTTTCAAATTGCACATGTTGTGTTCCAAGAATCCATGGTGTTAAGTTTTCATTATCTGATCTCCCGTATTAGTAACAGAATTGAAAATTGCTGTTTAACATGTCTTTTAAGTTGTGGATCAGAAATAGTTATGTTTCTCTACTGGAAAGTGTTTACTGAAGAAGCAACAAACCAGTCCCCCCAAATAACAGATACATTGTCGTTTTTCAAGATTCCCAAGTGTTATTTTTTCATTGTCTGATTTGTCTTTGGCATATATAGCATGTCTTTGGCATTCTCTTACTAGATATCTGATATTCAGATACCATAGCAGTTATGCAAGAATCTACATTTACACACACTATCATGGATATTATCATTTATGATTTGTGTAACTCAGTGGACCGAATTCCTTGCTGTAGTTTTCCTTTTGCAACAAATCAGTGCTATAGGAGAGACCTCATATATCTAGATCCATCATGTGGTTAATTTATACAGTCTCACATCCAAAAAAGTCTTTCCCTCCTAGTTAAGTAGTATGAGATTTTCTTTAAGGATTGACCAAGGTCCTTACAATGGATTTTTGGAAAACCTAAAAGCTATTTAGAGAGGCTTCTTGATTTGAGCCTAAATTGAGAGCCCCCAATTTTGAAAACCACATCAATGTAGGAACCAAGGAAATCCTAAAAAGGAAACAAGGATGATGCAAAATCTTATCGAACGAGACTCTGATAGCTTCAACTCTACACCTCTGATGATGACCTCCAGTTCATATTTGGGGTTGGGGGTAGAGTTTGGGGGTTAGGGCCAGGGATGGGATGACTATTGAATGGACAACGATGGTGGTGGGTAGACTGAACAACATGGTGGCGTCACTTTGTCAGGGGTGGTTGTGGATGCTAGATAGGTGTGTCGGATCTTTAATTTGTTGTTAGCGCTGGATGGCAACATATTTGACAATGATGACACCGCTAAATTAGAAGGGACAACAATAAAGGTGTGGGAGTGGGAAGATGGCAACATATCAGGTGCAAACCAACCAACTTGTGTAAACTTGAAAACTACGAATCAAGGCCACTAGATGCTGATCCAATGGATGGGGTGAGAGGTGGGATTATTTTGCGCTTAAACCCCCGGCCATGTGAAATGTGTTGAGCTGTGGAATGTGAAATGTGTTGAGCTGTGAAATTTAGAGTTGTTCATAGAAATTCAGAGCTTAGCATTCAGACGTATCTGAAGAATCCCTCTCCCATTCTCTTTCAGTGGAATGTGCAATTGATCAGGTATTCGGGTGCCCTCATCCAGGCCAGCGGAGCGCCACGGGCGGAGGAGCCCTCACCAGGCCGACGGAGGGCAAGGGGCGGCGGTAGGACACTAGCGCCGGGCGAACCAGGGGCGCACGGCCGTGGCAGCAGCCTAGGGCGACTCGCTGGCGCCGGGCGAACCAAGGTCGTGGCGGCACTGGGGCTGAGGCGACTTCATTGGCGAAGAATCCCTGGGCGGCGTGATCATGGCTCGCTCATGAACGGCTCGGACATTAAAAGAAACCGCCTGGCGCACCGGCATGCGAGGGGGCAGGGGGGGTTTTGAAAAAAAAGGCTGGCAGGTGCGGGGGGGTTAAGCGCAAAATAGTCCCACCTCTCACCCCATCCATTGGATCAGCATTTAATGGCCCTGATTCGTAGTTTCTAAGTTGGTTGGTCTGCACTGATATGTTGCATTTGGAGATAGGAGGAAGGAGATGATTAGGATGAATAAAGAGGGCATCCCCTTATTGGTGCCGAAGGTGATGCTAAGGAGGGCAGCCCTTATGAGGTGATGCTGATGAAGTGGAGGGTGGTGCGACAAGCCAAGGTGGGCAGAGAAAGTCAGGTAATGCGGGATTTTTTTTGAGGCAAGACAATGCGTGATGATTTAACAAAGAAGAAATGCTTTGAGAAGAAGATAAGTCATGTGTGGAAGGGCAGGAGCCCACCTTCTCTATAGGTGTTTTTACGACGGATTACATAGAAATCAACAAACTATCCTCCACCGGCAGCTTGTAGCGCCGTATGAGCATGTCTAATGTCTTGCTTGTAGTTGTACATGACCTGTTCTTCTTTATACTGGTATAGTATCTGTAATAGAAGGCTAAGCGCCAGTGCGCCATACCCGGTACTTTCTCTAGACGGCCATCCGTATAGTGTAGCTGGTCGCTTAAGAAAACGACCTTTTTAATTAATTTATTTAAGAAAAAGAAGCAAAAGGCATGGGCCTGATCAGTTTGACTGGCCCAAGACTCTCAGCGTTGAACAGCCCAATGGCTGCTGGGCAGTGCTGCAGTGCAGCAGCCCGCTTCCCTTTTCGTGGGTGGGGTACTCCGGTGGAGTTGGAGAGACAGGAAGGAAGGAGGGTCTGTGCCGGCCGGGGGGGGGGTGTGCCGGGGGGGTGGAACGCGCGGCAACCCCCAATGGCACTCGAATCGGCCGGTGGCGGCGTTGGCGGAGCGAAGAGGCGGCGGGTGGATGAGCAAGGGCGCCAGCGCATGCAAGTGGTGGCGGGGCCAGAGTCCGCCCCGGTGGTCCGCCTCTCGGAGCTGCCGGAGGACCTGCGGCGGCGCATCCTCACCCGCCTCCCGCTCAAGGACGCCATCCGCTCGGGGGCGCTCGCGCAGGGGTGGTGCGACCTCTGGAAGAGCCGCTGGGCGGAGCCCACCTCCTGCCGCGACATCCACCTCCTCCCCGCCGACAACCCGAGGAAGGTGCTCACGTCGCTGGAGAGCGTCCCGCGCCGGCGCCTCGACCGCTTCTCCTTCATCTCCGACAATGAGATGCTCAGGCCCCCGCAGCTCAAGCGCTTCCTAGCTCGCGTACACCGCCAAGTGCCGCGTTGAGGACCTCCACGTCGAGGTGCGTCGTGGCAAGCCCGGCCTGAGCTTCATCTTCCACTTCCCGCTGTCGAGTCCGAGAAATTTCATTATTTAACCCTGAATTCGCAAGCCTCTTAGAATTTGACATCAAATTCGCAAGCCTTTCAATATTTAACTCTGCGCACGCGAATTGTTTCAATAAGAGGGATTTTTCTCTTCTCCTCTCCTTTCTTAATTTCAATAAATCTTGGGTACTGTTTGGGACACGGGAAAAGACCTTTATACCCCTCTCTACACAAAAGAAGTCTGGGAGAAGATCCGGCTCTTGGCCTATGCGTGCTTGTGCTCTGTCCATACAGGCCCTCCCCAACTCCTCTGTTAGTACAGACCCCCCCCCCGCTACACACATGTGTTGTCAAAGAAAAAACAGCTACACACATGTAACATATATTTGATAAAAATTAATGTAAACAAAGTACAAATTATAATCAAATTTCAAGATAGAAAAAATAACATTAATATAATTTAAGAGTACAGGTTCACTGACAATAGCCATCCATACATTTTAGTAAATAGGTTCAAGTCAATACAACCATACAAACAATTTAAAGAGTACATGTTCACTACAATCATCCAGCCAATTTAAGATTACAGGTTCACAAAGACAAAGGAAACTCATCCAGCCAATTTAAGATCACAAGTTCAAATTGACAAAAGAAACATCCTGATGGCTGGGCATTACAAAAGAATCATCCTGATGGCTGGGCATTACAAAAGCCATTCAAACATCGATCTTCTTTGCCTTCTTTGGAGTGAGTTTTTTCTTCAGACCTAGCCTCCTCCTTGGAGTGGTTATAGCATTACTTGCTCCTTCTCTAGCTTGACTGAATACAATAGGAAAATTGAGTGGTTCAGTACATGAACTAAAATAACCACATACATGTTTAATAAAGTGAATCATTTAACCTTTTTGTCACTGTTCTAGGACTTGTACTAATCTGATTTGTCCCTCCAAATCCAGCCAATGTTATTTGCATTTGGCTAAAAATGAGACAAATGTTTAGAGTAAAAAATGGAATAGTATTCCAAGTTCTAACTCAATGTTGAGTGCATAGAAATTCACCTTCTTGTAACAGCCCCGGGACTAGTGCTAATTTGACTTGTGCCTTCTGGTACTTCCACAAGTCCAGGACTATTATTCCCTGAATTTTCTTGCACTTGAACCTTCTGCCTTTTGGATGAACTAGGAGATGCATCACCTTTGCTACAACCAAGAGGCCTACCTGCCTTTCCTTTCTTGGCCCGACTCTTCCTGTAAATATAAAATAGTTAGTTCAAAATATGAAGCAAGTACAAGTTAGTTCGAAAAAGGCATACATATTTACCTCTTCTTTGTTCCATTGAAAGGGCACTTAGGGGATGTTGATCTATGGCCATGACCTAAGCATTGTTTACACTGCACCTGCCACATGCCTTTGCCTCTGGGCTTATTTCCCTTGTTCTCAAGGCAGCTAGGGGTTCTCAGTTTCTTTTGTCTTCCAGGATCTCTCTTTGTGAGTGGTGGCAACACTTTGAATCCAGGATTCACACGTACCCATTGGGACTTATCAGGTAGTGGTTTGATCACACCACCATAGGCTAGTCTAAAATGGTACACGGAGTAGTATGAGTCAAGGTAATCTTCCATCTTAGGATTTCTATGTGTGGTGATTAGAAGCAAAGCATGTGCACAAGGTTTCCCTGAGACTTGCCACTCCCTACAGGTACATGTGTGATTCTGAATATTAACCACATGTCTTATGATCTTATAGGAATCTGTGACCTCTGTCACCTCTGCTTCATCCCGTCCACCTTCTTTTATTTTCAAGTGACCCAACTGTCGACTCATTGCATATAGTTGACGAACAACTATTGGCAGCATTACATGTCCTTCAAATTTCTCACCAATTCTCCTCCTTCTTGCATAAAGCTCCATGAACTTTGACCTAAGAGTGTCAGCAAGTTCAGCTATGGGAAGGTCCTTGATGTCCTTCACCCAATTGTTCCAAACCTCAGCCACATTATTAGTGATATGATCACACTTTATTGCCTCTGAAAATTTGCTCCTCATCCACTTCAACTTGTGATTGGCTTTCAACCATGGCTCAACATTTTTATTTACAGCATACATCTTGTTCATCAAGTACTCATGGTAATCTGGTTGGAAAGTCCTTGCTGCAGGATACATTCTTCCAAATGCAGGTCCTTGAAACCTCTTACTGAAATTCTTCATGAGATGGACAAAACATTCTCTATGCTCTGCCCAAGGGTATACATTCTTCACTGCATTCTCTAGACCCTTGCAAGCATCTGAACTTATAGCTAGGTGCGGTGGATTCCCAATTGCCTTTTGCAGCTGCTGCATAAACCAAGTCCAATTATCAGTACTCTCACCATCAAAAAACCCAAATGCAACTGGAAACATCCAGTTGTGCCCATCAAGTGATGTAGCTGATGGTAAGTGGCCACTCCATCTACCATTGAGAGTTGTGGAGTCAATACTTAAAAATGGCCGACAACCATTTAGGAAACCATCAATGCTTGGTTTCAAACAACAAAAGAATCTGTGGAAAAATACACCTTCCTCCTTATTCACGACATCTATCTCCACAATACTTCCTGGCATCCTGAGCTCAATCTCTGCCTTGAAGTTGAACAAATAACCAAAACTTTCTTCCCATGTCCCATGAATTTTTTCTCCAGCTATAACAAAACCCATATGCACAGTACCATACCCGATTGTGATATCATATTTGTCCTCCAGCTCTTCTTGCAATTTTTTTGCACCCATGGTTGGATGCTTCATTAGTATGGGGATTGCCTTCTCTGCTACCCAATGGTATGATGCCATCTTGGTCTTCAGTCTCGCAGTAGATGGACAAAAATGTTGTTCCTTATTCAATGTAATCTGTGAAATAGAAACAAATATGTTAGTAATGCAACACACATGCATGAGGACTAATAATGCATAATAAATTAAGTTAGCATATTGCATATAAGTGTTAGTACCCTGACTTGGATTTTATCAGGCATCAACCTTGCTACAATAGACCATGGACAACCCTCAGCTTTGCAGTACCCTCTGAACAAATCTTTGCAAGATTTCTCAGTTCCAAGTTGAAATTTTCCATTTATAGCATGCTGCTTTACTGCAGCCCTGAATTCATTCATACTAGCATATATGGTTCCAGCTTCCATTGGAGGGTCTTCTCTGTCATATAAAGGAGAATCCTCACCAGGTACACGATCATGAACCAACATGTCGGTATCTTGTAGGTCCATATCATCAAGATTTAATTGTGGCCGCCATCCTAGATTGCTCAGCCCTCTCATCCTCTGCCCTGAGGCCAACAAACTCATACATCGCATCTTCATCCATCACAGGAAGTGCGGCACCAATTTGATCTTGTCCAAGAGGAATAATCTCCATACTGTCCCAGTCGATTGCATGAGAAACAAATGCCTCCTTACTTGAATCTATTGGTCCAATGACATTATCATGCCCCACATTGCTTGCTGCTACCTCTGTTACAACTTCTGTAGGTTTGTCCTCAACATCAACAAACAAGAACAGCTTACTGTCACCCATCCTTTCAGAAAATGCACGGAACAGATCTGTGTCATTCAGCAACTTCCTTTCTCCACCACTCATGTCAAACTCATGTACTACAGGCTGTTGGCTACTTCCCCAATTGACCCTAGCTTTCAAGTCATTTTTTAGCATCTCCAAATTATAAGATCGGCAATCCACAACCCATTCATCAGATTTTCATGGCACATCCACAGAGCATCCATCATTGAGCTTAGCAGTGAACTCAGAAAACTGAACACACAACCTAAATGGGCCATCCCGATCGACTCTACCATGTGTACCAACAAAAAAATAAATGAGACACAAAATCAATTTTGTGCCCCTCACCAAGATCAACAGTACTGTAAAATTGAGAAACTGAGAAGGGGATTTTAGGATCGGGCGCTTACTCTGGAGGAGCCATGGAGACGGAGGGGGAGGACGACCTGCTGGCGTCGGAAAGAAAGAAGGAACATGAACATATCAAAGAAAGCAATTCATCACCCACCAGACAAAGACATACACGGGTACCAGCAGAAATCGTACACTGGCTCACCCTCGTTCACCTGAAGGAATGCGCCATAAGAATCTGCAGGGGAAAGAATTGAAACTAAAACAGCAGATTGGAAGTAGAGAATAATTGAACCAACAGAGACAACCAAAGGATAGGCTAAGCATTGAATGCAAGCATTTACATGAATACATGATACACTGCCACATTCGCAACAGCAAAAAACTCAAAACCGAGACGCACCTTCACCTCCGGCCGGCGGCCTCGGCTTGGGCTCCGCAGCACTGCACGCTTCCTCCGGCCTGTCCAACGGAAGAAGGAAATGCCCCACTTTTAGCCACTTGCTGCGCGGCGTAAAGAGAGAGCGTCAACATATCAGAAAATGTAAGCGCGGTTTACAACTTACAAGTAGAACAAGCGGAGGGAGTTATCGTCGGAGCTGGTGAGGAAGGAGGACCCGTCAGGCGACCATTTTATGGAGAGCTCGGCCGCCCTAACCCTAGGCCGTCGGGCCAGGGAAGAAGCGGCGCAGGAAGACGGGCGGGGGCGGCGGAGGGGCTGAAGCGGGGAGATCAAGCGGACAGACGGTCGTGGGCGTTCTCCGGCGGCGGCGGCGCGTCTGGAATGGCGCTTCTCCGCTCTCGCGAGGAGCGGACGGAGAAAGAACTGAAGCCTCTTACTAGTGGGCTTCAGGATAGGAATGAGGAGGTAGGGATAGTTAGGTCATTTTCCATGTCCTGTAAAGTGCCAAAAGATATTAGAAAATAGAAAATTAATAAAAATCCTAGAAATCCCTCGGATTAAAACAATTCGCGTGCATAAGGTTAAATATTGAAAGACTTACGAATTCGATGTCAAATTCTGAGAGGCCTGCGAATTCAGGGTTAAATAATGAAATTTCTCGTCGAGTCCCCTCATCGCGCACCTCTCGCTACGCGGCGTCAGCATCATCAACATGTACTACAAGGGCGCCCAGCCCTTCTACGCTCTCGAGGCCATTCACCTCCACTCCGTCGGCACCTGCGAATCGACCTTCAGGAAAATGATGGCACTGTGTCCCCGCCTCCATACTCTCGATCTGCGCCGTTGCAACTGCTATGACACGTTATGCGGTGCCAAAGCCTTCATCCCGCCGGCGGGGGATAACCTGAGGAGTATTACCGTCGCCAAGTGCCAAGGGGAGACCTGGCTGGATGATTTGGCGCTGCCTAGTCTCCGTTATTTCCGCTACAGCGGCAATTTCGATGTGTTCCCCTTCTTCCTTCCGAAGGACGCCGCACTTGCCGATCTTTAGTATCCCTCATGTCCTTTGAGTTGTGTTTGTGGAATAGAGCACTCCCGATTAATCTCTCCGGTCTCACAATACTCACCGTCTGCAGCAATGCCCTCAAGGTACGCTCCGCCTTAATCCCACCTCTGTGTCTAAGGAATAGCCTTTTCTTCTTTTTTGCTTTGTTCATGGGAACATATAAGATTAGCAATGGAAATTTAACTATGGTCTGCAGCAATGCCCTCAAGGTGCGCTCCTAGTTCATAAATTGTTTGGTTGCTAACATGCTTACATTCTTTTTTTTTCTTTTCATTGACCGTGCCCTTTAGATGGCATCATCCCGATGTACAAAGATGGCCAACTTTCAGAGCATGAAAGAGCTACAGCTGCTCATACTTGGAATGAAGATGGACAACCTAGCTGACATTTATCTGTTCCTCAAGTCTTGTCACTGTCCTAATCTTGAGAGGCTCTTTGTGCAGGTTAGCATTTTCAATGCCTCTCTGAATTCCTTCGCTTAGTAGCCACTATTGTCATTTTATTGATTCTGCATGCATTCTTGTTTATTGAGATGCTTCTTCATGATTGCGGTTAATCTTTGCAGCTCCCAGCTACCTGTGATGTGCCCTTGGAGGATTTGGTTGAAGAGGTGAGGGTAGAACTGCTAGAGGATAGCTTAGTCAACCTTAGAATGGCGAAGGTCATGAACTTTAATTGGCACCGCTTTGAGGTGCGGTTAGTGTGTTTTTTATTGAGGAATTCCCTACATAAACTGCTACTAGTTTCTCCCAATGTTGCTCCGCTGCATGTGCCCGGTGTAGAAGTAGCTGACCTTCTTCTCCTCAACGAAGCTTTGGTCAGTGGACGCGTTATTGTCAGCAAGTCTGACTATCCAACAGCTCAGCCCTTTCATTCTGAGGTCTTTATCGAGGTTTAACTTTATGTGCTATCAATTTGTTGTTGGTCATAATATTGGAGCAATCTACTCTCATGTAGTTAATTGACAATGTATGAAGAAACTGGTACTATCTCTGTAACTTCTTTTCTTAAGTTTAATGAATGGATTCCTGCTCGTGCTTACTTTCTTGTTGTGTTACCATTACTATTTCACATTTCAATATGAAAACGAATTCTTATATCTGGAACTGTGATTATGTGATATGAATATATGATGCCAGTTACCTTTGTTTTTGTTTTACTAGTCAGATATCAGATTGTGTCACTTCAGCCTAGACATTGGGGAGGTACACAATTCATTATCTTGAGTATTTTTTTATTATAAGGTTATCTTGAGTGGTTCTGGGTTTGTTCCCAACATATGTTTTATATAAGATAAGGTTCCAGAAGTAGCCTGGTGAAAAGTTTGAGCTATATGATTGATATATCTTAGATGAAGTGCAGTGCTGATAACAATGCACTTACATATTTGCTGTGGCCGTCCTAATATACCTAGAGTTTGTACTAGAGAATCAAATAAGAAAGACAAACCCTCCTTTGTAACTAAATTTGCATTCAAATGTATCTCCCTCTGCTATCGTTACAGAAACCAAAAAAAACTGTGATTACTTCCTGAGATGAATTATACTGGGATACTGGATTATTTCTGTCTAGATGAGTTGTGATGCTGTAGTTGTCATGATATACCTGGTGTGAGAACTGTGAACTACAGAAGTAACTCAGCAACACAATTTCAATGTTGTCAGCAAAATTTTTATGGCTTACAGATCTTAGTGGTTATGCATCTCCATTTTCTGTTGTCACAGAAATAAAAGATGTGGTTTCTACTTCAAAAGAACCATAGCGTAGAGTATATCAGATTTGTTTCTGCCATTAATTAGATGGGTCACGATCCTGAGAACCACCCTTTTGGCCTGTATCTATTGTGCGCAGTACTTGGGGACCCTGTTTACTTATCTGGTTAGCCCTATTTCTTAGATCTAGAGCTCACATGGTTTCTTTTTCTTTCATTATCATCAGGGTTGGTCCTTGCTGAATAACAAAATAGGATTGCACTATACTGACTATGAGTACATCCTAATTATTATTCTCGGTAATCAGTAGTCACTTGGTAACACCTTGGAACCCTGCAATGTGCAGTTGGAAAAAGTTTTCCATTTTTTTTCAATAGACGCTTCACTGTCACTAATTTTACACATGGATGCATCATGACAGCTTGTCACATTTTATTGGTCTTACCAAGTGATTGTATCAAACTATGTTTGTATTCCTGTAGTGCAACTAAGTCATATACTGTTTTCAGTTTAACAGAAAAAAGAATGCAGTCACATCTTCTAAGTGACACCATATCACCACCTGGTACTTAATTCAGATAACTCAGGGACAGACAATTTTGTCCACAAATGCAGGTCTGAAATTCAGTACTTCATACATTTGTCAAAGACAAAATGAAACTTCTGATACTGTTACATGAACCCCTTTTATTTGCATAAGTTGAAGTTATAATATTTCACTATTATCTCCAATATTACTGCTATAGTTTACGACCAAAGGATAAAGATCATCAGAGGCAATGTCATATGAAGTTCAGTTCAGAAAAGGTACCTATATTACCAAGTAAACTAAAGGCAAAACAACACCAGATCTCCTTATCTGTTTTGTCCTTTCACCAACAGAACAGAAAAAAAAATGCAGTTTAGCAAATTTTTCCCATCCTCTAAGTGGATCTGAAATGTTCAGAGACCATTGTACCTACTCCTTATGCAAGAATGGAAAATCTGCATCTGACTTGTTTATCTTGTGAAGGGCAGACCTGGTGCAGTGGTGAGAGCTGACTCACTGAGTCGCGGGTTCAAAGCAGCCTCTCCGCAGATTTTGCGGGGGGAAGGCTTGCCTCGGTTTTTCCCTTTCCCAGACCCCACTCATGTGGCAGCCTCCAGCACTGGATCTGTCCTTTTTTTTACTTGTTTATCTCGTACTACACCTGTTTCTGCATTAGCATGTGATGAATTTCATGAATCAGAGTTGATAAGTTTATTCATATTATCATGGTATTCATTGCTGTCACTTTCCTTTCAAAAATCATTGCTATTTGGGACTTCATATATATCTTTCCGTCATTTGATTAATTTTGTGCTGCCTCACGGTAAAAAAAAAATGTTGCTGTGTACTCTTTTCAAGTGTGAGCTTTATGCCCGATCATTTCAAATATGGTTTAACAGTTGTCCATCTGGGTGTACAACTTCATCTTGTTTTCGCAAGTGTTTTTTAGATGGGCTACTTACTAGCAAGGCTGCAGACTGCCTGGTTATTGGAAGCATTTTCTCTCTCTTTTATTATGGGAAACAAAAGAAGTAGATTTCTTAAAGGGATAACAAAATAAAAAAGAAAAGTTTTTCTGTACAAGGCTTACGCATGGGCCAAAAGCCCAAACCTGAGGCAGCACGCCTGGTCTGCTTGAGCCGCTGAGCGTCCATGTTTCGGCCCCGAATGGGCCCAGGTCCTTCTCCTTTTACCTACGCAGCGCCTCGGCTTGGCCTTCTGCAGTAGTGAGGGCGGGGAGGGAGAGGAAGGGTTTGGGGTTTCCTCCCCAAATTGGAGAACGAGCGGGAAATGGCCATCGACTCCGGCGGCGGCGGCGGCGATTGCAGCGGCGGCGGAGCGAAGCGGCAGAGGGTGGATGAGCAAGGGGATCGATGCGAAGTGGTGGGCTCGGATGTGGTCCCGATGGACCGCATCTCTGCGCTGCCGGACGAGCTGCGGCAACGCATCCTGACGCACCTCCCCCTCAAGGACGCGATCCGCACGGGGGCGCTCGTGCGCGGGTGGCGCGACTTGTGGAAGGGCTGGTGGGCGCACCGCGCCTCCCTCGAGGTGCACCTCCGCTTCTCCCTCATCGTCGACATCTGCAAACTCAAGTCCTCGGAGCTCCGGCGCTTTCTCGACTACGCCGCGGAGTGCGGCGTCGAGGACCTCCACGTGGAGACGAGCAAGATCACGGTCGCGGACAAGCTCAACTTCCATCTGGCGCTGTCGAGCGCGTCCCTCGCGTGCCTCTCGCTCCGCCGCATCAGCGTCTCCAGTATGTACTACAAGGGCGCCCGGCCGTTCCACGCTCTGACGCTCTCGAGGTCATCAGGCTCCATTCAGTTAACATTAGCCAGGCGGCGTTCCGAAAAATGATGGAGCTGTGCCCCAGCCTCCTCACACTCGACCTGCGCGACTGTGACTGTGACTACTGCTTTTGGAACTTCGACAGATGCTTGGTCATGCCTCAGAACGTGAGGAGTGTTAGCCTCGCGGAGTATGATGGATTCACCCGTCTGAACTGGGTGCCTCTGCCCAGCCTTCGATCCTTCCACTACAGTGGTCACTTCCTCGAGGCCCCCTTCAACATTCCACGCGACGCCGCTCTTGCTGATCTTTATATTTGGTTTGCTGATTCAGTATCAATAAAGTACGATGCCAAAAGGTTGAATAATTCTCTCCCGAAGGATTTATCTGGCCTCAACGTTCTCACCATCTGTTCCAATGCTCTCCCGGTATTTTCTCCTTATTGAATTTTATTTTATATTGTCTTCTTATCACCTAACTTATAGGTTGCTTGATTTTTCAAAAAAAAAAAAAACAAAGAGAACAGATAGTTTTCTTTAGAGTTAAATGCACCAGCCCTCGAACTTGTAGGCGTGTGTCACATAGGTCCATGAACTTAGAAAATGCATTTCTGGGTCACTAAACTTGTTAAGTGGTGCACCGCAGGCCCATATCAGCCACGTGCACATTTTTTGCTGACGTGGCATGCTAATATGACATATAATTTTCATTTAACCCCTCACATCTATTTTTCTCATAAAAAATAGACCCCAGCGCTCGCCGTGCTTAGGAAACACACCGAGCCGACTGGACCACGAGCCTCGCTTCTTTCGTCATGCGATCGCTCTCCGCCACCGTTCCCACGCTTGCTCCACTCTGCAGGTCTCTTCCTCTAGGCCGGCGTGAAAGCGGTTTTGACACGCTGGGGCCGCGCCGCCCGCTCTAGACTCGGACCGGTGTGCGCCCGGTGCACTTCGTCATGCGGGGCAGCTTCGTCCGTGTAGATGAAGTGGAGCATGGCCTGAACACGTCGTGGACCACCGAACCACTCGAAATTGCTTTGTCCCTCTTTGTCCCCGGAGAACTTGGCCCTGAACACCGGCGAAGCGCATGGCGAGCACCGGCACGGATCTTGCGCGTCGAACGGGCAGCTCCTCTCTCCACGGCGGCGGCCACGTCCGCCGACGCTGCGCTTTCTGCCCGAAGAGGACCCTTATAGAACCGGGTGAAGTCGCCCGTCTTTGGATGGCCTCGGCGTGGAGTTCGACCACGATGGGCAGGTAGCACCCCACGCACACCACCGACCCGCCCATTGCTAGTAAGCGTCCGGCCACCCGATGCACGCCGAGTCGCGCGCCATCTTTGGGGTTCTTGTTCCCGTTGCTGTTGCCACATCTGCTGCTGCCGGCTATGCCGCTTCAGGCGCTTCGCCGATGATGCCGCCCGGCGGCAGAAGCCGCCGGCCGACCGGGAGGACATGCGGCCCCTGCCGCGCGTGCGGCGCGGCTGCGTCGTTGTTCTCGTTCGGCGGCTGCTGGACACCCGACCCTCGGCCTCGGCCGGAAGGAGTGCTCTCGCGGCGTCGCTTTGTCCCCTTCTTCAGCTCCAAAGATGGCCGCGGCATTCTCCGGCGTGATCATTTCGCCTGTGAGTTCTCACACAGGGCCGCATCCTCTCCACCGAGTTGGTACCGCTCATGGCCGCTAGCAGATCGCCGGGCAACGCGCCATCTTTGCTCGACGACGGCCGCTTCCGGCTCGGCGGCGCGCACTAGGTAAATCCATCGGCGGTGCAGCTCGTCCATGTAGACGAAGTGGAGCGAGGCCTTCTCGTCTACACCTCCAACCACCGGCATCGAGGCGGGCCGCGCCTGTGGGAGGGCGGAGCAGCACGGGAGGATGCCCCCCCCACGGCGCGCCACTACCGTCACGCACGCACGCACGTAGACACACGAGCGCGGATCATGCCGCGACGCCAACGTGGCCGACGTGCCTTGCGCCGCGGCGACGAGCATCTGCGAGCAGTAGTCTTTCCGCGCGCGCGCGCGCACGCGCGCATAACACATGCACGCATTGCACACACGCTCGGACCGCAGGAGGGGCCAGCCGGCCAGGGCCATATGCTGCTGCGTGCCCTGCCGTTATGAGGTGGTCGTGCACCACCCGGGGGCTGCCGAGCTGGTGGCTGGAGGTGTAGACGAGGAAGATGAAGACGACGAGCATGACGTCCACGACGACGGAGTGGATGTAGCTGGCGAGGAACGTGGCCTTGAGGGCGCCAGCGGCGTGTACACGGCGACGCCGCCCGCAAAGCAGCATGGCGTGACGATGACGTTGGTGGCGAGGCGAACACCAGAACACGGCGGCGCCGCTCGTCCCCCACCGTCGCGCGAACGATCTCGCAGACGGTGTGCGCGTTGGGCGCTTTGCGCTTGATCTCGATGGCCATGACTCGAGCAGGAGCACTGGATGGTGGCGCGCGAAGCAGCGAAAAAGGCCACTCACGCCCGTCATCGCCACGCCACGTTCGAGCTCTGCGAGATTGTTGCCGCCCATGTCCACTGCTCGATTCGACGCGTGATCCATTGATCCATTCCATGAATTCATTAGCTAATTCCAACTGCTAGTATGTGACTGAAACTGAAGACAGACAAATCAAAGGAAATGAGCAAGTTCAAGGAAGTGATCTTCCTCGTCGCCGGCAAGGGCTCAGTTCTCGATCCTAGGGTGTCACCCAAGCAAGGAGGTGATCTTCCTCGTCGCCGGCAAGGGCGGCCGAACCTCAGTAGGGCAGCGACAATTGGGCTCCACCACAGCTCGGTGCCCAAGCCACCGCGCCCAAGGAAGCACCCGCCTTGAGACCGGGAGCGCCGTCACACGGGACTTGGCGAGGGACCCATCTCGGACGCCTCCTCAAAGGCCTCCCACGGCTTGCTCTCCTGCTGCCGCCGCCTCAGCTGCCATGACGAACTCCGCCCGCCCCGGCAGCAGCAGCAGCGCCGCCGCCGCTTCTTCTTGTCGAGCATGGAGCAGTGTCGCTGAAGCCTCCCTATTCGGTGCGTTCGTGAGCAGGGTGGGCGCTGGGGTCTATTTTTTATGAGAAAAATAGATGTGAGGGGTTAACTGAAAATTATATGTCATACTAGCATGCCACGTCAGCAAAAAATGTCCACATGGCTGGTATGGGCCTGCGATGCACCACTTAACAAGTTTAGTGACCCAGAAATGCATTTTCCAAGTTCATGGACCTATGTGACACACGCCTACAAATTCGAGGGCCGCTGGTGCATTTAACTCTTTTCTTTACCGAACCGAACAATTCCTTTTATTTCAGGTTGCATCTTTCTTGACAGATGATGGAAAAAGTGTTCATTTGCCCAATCTCAGCTTAAACAGTTTGAGAGAGCTACATCTACTCATGTTAAAAATGGATGCTGTCAACCTAGCTGACCTTTATGTGTTCCTCAAGACCTGCCAATGTCCTAATCTGGAGAGGCTCTTTGTGCAGGTTAACACGCCTTCATCACCTTACTAAATCTCTTTGCTTCATGACATCATTCGATCTTTTCGCTTCATCTATATCTGAGCTCTTATCGAATTGTAATGCTTCTGAATGATTATGGCTTATCTTTGTAGCTCCTGGAATCTAGATATGAACCCATGGAACGTTCAACTGATGGGGTGAGTGAAGAAGCACCAGAGGATGGCTTAGACAACCTTGTGATGGTAAATGTCATGAACTTCAATTGGCGATGCACTGAGGTGCAGCTAGTGAGTTTTCTGTTGAGGAAAGCTAGTTCCCTGCGTAAACTGTTAATAGTTTCTCCCAATGCCGCTCCATTGGATTTGCTTGGTGTACAAGAAGCAGACCTTTTGCTTTTCAGAGAAGCTTTAGCCAATTGCAAGATAATGCTGAGTGAGTCTGACGATGCTTCAACTCAACCATATCATTCTGAAGTACCAAGTTCTAGTTCTTAGTGACGAGTCTGGTTGGAGCCCTATGGATAGTAATAATACTAGACAATCAGGGAATTATGCTTTTGGTTGTAACTCTTATATATTGATAAAATATGAAGAAACCAATGTTGTCTCCCTACTGTCATGAGTCATGAATATTACTACTAGCAAAGTATTTAAATTGTATGGTATTCCAGTATGTGCGTGATTTGATGTCCTGGTACCACTTCATGTATTGACATATTATCCTTATGAATTGAAGCAGCTCTGTATCATCTGTAAAAAGAAGATGAATTAAATTATGGATGAGAAAATAGTAGTGATAATGTTCTATGTTGGTTTTTTACCTTGATGTATGATTGCTTCGAAGTGGCGAGGTCTGCACTTATATACATGACTTGTAGTCTTGTTCCCAACATATATTTTTTGATATGGTAATTTTTGTAACACCCCAGGTGTTTGTCACCAATGAAGCAATGGGTTTAAGCTCAACCATGGCATGTTAAGTAGTGATGGAGATGTTAGGTTAAACATATGAAAATGAGTCACCACTTAAACTTGGACTATGCACCATTGCTTACATGCTGCCCTTTCTAAAGAGTATGCTTGGGAAATACTGGATGTACTTGTTTCATGTGTCTCGCATCAATATCCATCTATATTGATCCATGAAAAAGTTTCGTGAAGTTTGGAATCAAGAAGTCACATGAAATGATAAGTCATATCTTTGCATGAATTGCTTTATCAAGTGGATGGAAACCTATGAAGTCAACCAAACCTTGGTACCTTGCTCAAACAACTCTACTTGCACTCATGAACAAAAGTTATGAAGGGTTCATGTTGAGCAGGTGGCCAGAAAATGCTCCAATAGATCAAAAAGGGTGATTTAAGCTTTATAGTGATGCTACTTTGACTTGGTTTGAACTGCAACTTAAAGTGTTTGCATGGCAGTGGAACCTAAATAAAAGTTGGAGTCCATGTTATGTACAACAAACTTTATGTTTGGACCAAGAGCTAGATCAGCTTGTAAGCAAGTCAAACCGAGGCTCAAACTTTGAATCAGCAGCTGTTTTCAGCACTTGAAATTTTTCTAAGTCTGGGAACGGGGATTTTAGTTTCAGGTTAGCTTATTTGGTGCTTTGTATCTCCCAAACCAGGCCGAACCAATTCATGAACCTTTAATAGAAGTTGTAGTACTCCCATAGATATACAACTTGTATTACTGACGTTTTTGCTGAAACTGGATGTACTAGGGAGTAGAAGAGGGAGAAGAATGCGGTTTCAGTCAGCCCGTAAATGAACTGCAGAATTCGGTTTTGAGGTACCCTCCTTTAAAGATCCATATTTCCAAATCTAGGCCAACTTAGCTCTTGATCCTTAAGAAAATATTGTTGACCTCACATAGATGTACAACTTTGCCTCTTGTTCCTTGATCACAGGACCACCGGATCGAGAGTTATAGGATGGGAAAGTCGGAGTTTCAGTCGTACTTTCGCGGTGGTATTTGATCAAGTTCATGCAGTTCGGAAATTTTGAACGTGCCCGATTGTTCTGAAGCTTGATGCCGCGTGGCGTCCCAGCTCGCTGTCCATTCGCCACCTTGCCATCGCGTGTCGCTTTAGTAGCCGAGCTCGAGCCCTGTTCCCTCTCTCACTCGCACCCTCTCTGCCTCTTCCTCGCTCTCTAGCGACGCGAGTGCGCCATGGACGCCGCCACCGAGCTTCGCGGCCACCGCTGCTCCCTTCTTCGTCCTCGCAGCCAATCACCGTACAGCCATGTACAGCAGAGCCTCAACCGCAACGCGACCATGGCCCTCCTTCGCAGCCAGCCGACCAAGCTCCAGAGCTCGCCCCGCCTGCTCAGTTCGCCGGCGCCGCGGTTGCACGTGGCTGGACATTCCTAGGCCAATGCCGACCAAGCCAGAGCCCTGTGCGAGTGCGCATAGGCTAGGGCTTGCCGTGGCCTTGCAGCTCGCCACCGGCGCCGTCCTTGCCGGCCGTAACAGCGAGCTCCGGCCATCTCTGCTGCTCTGCTCGAGTTGAAGAAGGAGAAGGGCATCGCTCATCAATTCAAGCTTTTACAGGGGTGTAACTGCAAGGATATAGACTTGAGTGAATAGTGCCAAGAAGGATTGATTCGCTGATCTTTAATTTGTGTTTTCCGCAGGGACCCCGATGCAAGATTTCAATCCCTTTTCTCTGGTTTTTACAGATTTGAATGCTCCACTTTGCAAATTCGTAGTAATTTGTAGAAAAATCGTAAAATAGTAAATGAGGACTTTTTGGAATCCTTGTGAAATTTTTTATGCAGTAGATCTATAATATTACATGTTTTAGTTTAAAGGTTTAGCTGTGAAAATAGATTTATGCAGTTAGGTTTTTAATGCTAGTTGTATTTGTCTTTTTCATAACTGTAGTTCTTTTGCTCAAATAAATGTGAAATTTTTATGGAGTGCTCAAAAGGTAATTGTTGTTGTCTGGTAAAAATTTCAGAAGTGTAGGATTTATATTTTTAGAGTTATAAAAATAACAAATGTACTGTATTGCTTTGCTCCAACCCTGAATAGTCCTGCATGCTTGAATTAATTGGCTTAGTTAAGTTATAAATCATGACTTTATGATAATACATGAGTTGTATTACTTTTATTAAGATTTTCAAAAAGTTAAATATCATGATTTTTGGTTAAGTAGATCTTGAGTTATACTTGCTTAAATCTCTGTGGCTGTTTCTGCCCAATCCCAGAGAGGGTTTTCTTGTTCTTACTATGGGGCCTTCTTAATAGTAGAATTAGCTTTAGGTGTTTACAACAAAGTTGTTTAGAATTTGATAAGCTTTCTAAAAAGTCTAGAACCACAATTATTGGACATGTATAACTCCATTTATAGCTGTTTAAAGTGGCATGTCAGTTTCTGTCTATGTTTTGGACAGAGATGCAATTATTGGATTAATTGACCCTTCTAACTGTAGAATCATCTTAATATGAGAATAGGAAAGTTGTAGGTAATTTCCTAATGTTTTCAAAAAGTTATGGTTCATGTCTTTTGGAGGTCTGGAACTCCAGTTATGCTTCTCTGAAGTTCCTATCAGTTTTCTGTACCACTGCTGTTGGGTTGCATTTGCAGTTTTGCTTGTGCAATTATTTTCGTGGTATAAATGATGTTTTCTATGGTTGTAGTGAATACAAAAGTTGTAGCAAATTTCATGATCTTGCTTGTGTTCAACTTATAAGGCCATAGGCCTGATAGTGTAGGAGTTACATGACTTTTAAGTCTTCTGTCAGGTTTTGATTGTATTCTGAGCAGATCTGAAAGATGCTAGTGTTTGATCTAGTTAGGGTTTGAATGAGCTTTTGGTGATAATAACAAAGTTGTAGATAATTCATGTATCTAGCTTATGTTAAAATTTGGTGGTATTTAATTTTGTGGTTTGTGAGTTATGCCTGTTTAAAGTTAGGTTACAGAATTGATTGCTCTCTGTCAATTGTGGACCAGTTTCTGTAAATGGGTATATTTGACTTAGTTAACTTGAGAATCATGCTAAGATGATTAAAAATGAATTGTATACAATTTCATAAGCTTTCCAAAATGTCTTCTTGCAAGTCATTTGGATTTGTGTAACTCCAGTTATAGCTAAATCTTGTAGCAGCTGTTTGCATGTCTAGAAATTGGCTGATTCCAATTATAGTGTTTGCTTGTATATTGCTAAGTGTGACTAATGCCTTGAATGATAACTGAGTTAGAGCATCTGAGATCTTGGGAAACTTGTGTCATGCTTGGTGTTGTCGTCTTCTTTGCCATCTTAGCATGATAGATTGTGTGATGTTTAAGTTAAGCATCGCAAAGTACTTAAGTGTGTTAGTGTAAACTATGCTTGTCTTGCTTGCTATTTTGTGATGCGTCTCATGGTACTCTTCTTCATATTTATGCACTTGTATATTACATCTCATCTAGGTACGCTAGATGCACCACGTGAAGGATGCGATGTTGGAGCCAAACCCGAAGATTTGGTTTGGTAGATATATCCCGAAGATGGAAGGACTAAGCAAGTGCTAGGACCGGAGATGTCACCATGACGGTGCAAGCTAACTGAACTGACTTGTGTCGGATCCCAGGCAAGCCCCGGAGCATATTGAGCCTCTTAATTTCCGAAATGCAGTTAAAGTATTATTGTTACACATATATATATTGTTGCATTAAGTTTAGGTGTTGGATACAAACACTTGCTGCATTGGTTATCCAATCCTTGTCCAGATATTGATACCCTAAATCCTATGTAGCTCAGGCTCGTGTAGTGCTTAGCCCTGCTTAAACACGGTAGAAGTCAGGTGATTTCCTATCACCTGCGAGATATAGGAATATACATATGGCACGGTTGACTATATTTGTTATCGTGGAAAAGAACCTGTCTTAATTTGAAATGAAGACCGGGCGGAGGCTTGCCGGTTTGTAGTGACTCCGTCTGTGTCGCTTAAGGACTGAATCTTGGAGCCTTTCCTGTTCATGTTGAACGCATGCCTCTCTCTTAGTTGGTCGGGTCTGGAGACCGACCACGAAGCCGAGTAGCTCACCTCAGGCCGGGAGTCGATAAGTATAAAGTGTGCCTCAGAAGGGAGCCGTAGGCGTGAGTCCAAGGGCAGGTGATTTAAAAGTCCTGATCGTCCTGGCAGAAGGGTAACCCCTGAGAGTGCTGGCGCTGATCGAACCCGCGAATTTGGTTCCTGAGTTGTCCCAAAGGTGACCCACGGCTACCCTTGCAAAGTATGCCAGGGTGAGAGCTAGGAATACCCCCTCAGTTGAGTTGAAATTCGATTCGAGTCGCCATTTCTCACCGGTTAGTGAGAACTTGACGGGCTTATCTCCAAAGTAGATACACTAAATAACATAATGGTTCAGAAATGATGATATGATGATGACAGTCTTATTATACCTGCTATGGTTAATATTGATTGCTCCTAATAAGTGAGTGCTCTAGTACATGTGCTAATCTAATGGACAGGTAAATGATGATAAGCTTGATGCTAAGTTTAAATTGGTCACTATATTCATAAGCTCTTTTATGCAACTGTGTCAAGCTAGCCCACCTCATAAGCCTTGCATGACCCTTGGTGTCTTTTATTTCTGGTTTTGACGGGTAAGTCTAGCTGAGTACCTTCTCGTACTCAGGGTTTATCTCCCACTTGTTGCAGATGACCAGTTCTACTTCGGTTGCTGCAAGTATTGCCTTCTCCCGGCTGGGGATGAAGACTAGACCGTTGGGCGCGGTCTCTCCTAGTTCTCGTACCTGATAATGCTTTTGTAGGGCATGACTAAGATCTGGCAATGTATTTGAAACTATGAAGTTATGTACTAAACTATGTTGCTTCCATAAATTTGAACTTGGTTTGTAATATTTTATTCGCACTCTGATGGATGTAATCCGGATGCCACTTGTGAAATGTTGTAATGAATGATGTGTTGTGTTGAATCACTACGGTCTTGGTTTGTATGTCGAGAGTTGTTTGAAATCCTTCGTGATTTTCGGACTACCGGGATTATGGGAGCTTAAGTACAGGAATTTGATCACTTCGGTGATTGTTTTTGTACTTACGTTCTTATAATTTGGTCGGTTCTGTTACAATTTTTAGGAAGTGGATCGATATAATCATGTGTTGTGATGTTATGGTCCCATGGAATGTGAACTAGAGAAGTATTTAACAACAAATTTTCTGTTAATAAATGTAAATGGTTCTCTATCTCCCTTTGCTATGGACCAAAGCAAAGTATGTGATTTCTGCCTCAAATAAGGTGCAGCGGATGAGAAATTGAATTGTTATGCTAAAACCACTATTTGGAGCTTTGTGTCTACTCTATGTAGTAGCCATGTAGGGCGTCTGTGTACGTTCTTTTGTGGGTGTGGGTGGGTGGGGGGAGGGGTTGGCTTCTCAGCCGTATTTACTGTTCTTCAATGTTTACTTATCTGTCTTCTTGTTTTCTTGTCATCTATCGAGGCTAAGTGCTATGGCATCTCCGTTCTCCAATGTTTAGATGCCATAACACTTAGTGTTAAGGAATCCACATCATATCAACTTGTTGATCTGTTAGTTGCTGGTACTTTGTTTTTGCATTACAGAGTGGTGAATTTCTTGAATCAAAGTTCAGAAGTTTAACATCACCATTTCCATTTTATGTTACTTAGTGGTTTAAATGCATTGCTGTACGTAATCTTCCTTTGGGAAATCATTGCTATTGAGGATTTCACACACTTCATTCCATCATTGGAGGCAGCCTAATGGTCAAAAGTCAAAATTGTTGCTGTGTGTGGACTCTGTTCAAGGTTCAAGGATGAGCTTTGTGTATAATGGCCCCGTTCGCTTGTCTTAAATTTGGCTTGTTTGGCTTATTTTTTTAGCCGGAACAGTATTTTTCTCTCACAACAATTCAGCCGGAACAGTATTTTTCAGCCAGTTTCAGCCAAAGTTCAGACCAGCGAACGGGGTCAAAGTCCGATCATTTCAAGTATGATTCCAAAGCTTTGTCCATCTCGGTGTAGTAGTAGAGCTACATCTTGTTTTTGCAAAACCTTTTTCCGATGGGCTACTGAGTACTGACCAGCAAGGCTGCAGGCCGCCTGGTCATTGGAAGCAATTTTTTTTCTCTTATTATATGGGAAAAACAAAAGTACGGAGTAGTTTTCTTAATAAAGGGTGAATAAAATAAGAGTTTGCCTGTACAAATACAAGGCTTACGCATGGGCCAAGAGCCCAAAACTCTGGCAGCACGCCTCGTCCCCCTTGAGCGTCCATGTTTCGGCCCTGTATGGCCCAACTCCTTTTCTAACCTCGCAGGCTCGCAGGTTCACAACACCCAGCGGCGCATCGGTTCTGGGTTCTGGACTTCTGTGTGGGTGAGGGGGGCGGGGAGAAGGAGAAGGGTTTCCCCAAATTGGGGACGAGCGGGTAATGGCGATTGACTCCGGCGGCGGCGGCGGCGGCGGCGGCGGTGGCAGCGGCAGCGGAGCGAAGAAGCAAAAGGTGGATGAGCATTACCGATGTGAGGCGGCGGGATCGGATGCGATCCGCGCAGACCGCTTCTCGGCGCTCCCTGACGAGCTGCGGCTGCACATCCTGACGCACCTCCCCCTGAAGGACGCCATCCACACGGGGGCGCTCGCTCGCGGGTGGCGCGACCTGTGGAAGCGCCGGTGGGCGCACCGCGCCTCCGTCGAGGTGCACCTCCGCTCCCGCGACGACCTGCGGAGGGAGCTGGACGCCCTGGCGCGCGAGCCGCGCCCGCGCCGCCGCCTCGATCGCTTCTCCCTGATCGTCGACATCTGGAATCTCAAGTCCTCGGAACTCCGGCGTTTTCTCGATTACGCCGCCGAGTGCGGCGTCGAGGACCTCCACGTGGATACACTCCAGGGCACGACCGCGAGCAGGCTCAACTTCCACTTGCCGCTGTCCAGCCCGGCCCTCGCGAGCCTCTCGCTCCGCCACATCAGCGTCTCTAAAATGTACCACAAGGGCGCCCGGCCATTCCACGCTCTCGAGGTCATCCGGCTCGCATCGGTCTCCTTCCGCAGGGAGGCTTTCAGAGAAATGATGGCGCTGTGCCCCAGCCTCCTCACTCTCGATCTGCAATGCTGCAGCTGTAACGGTTTGGTGTTCGACAGGCTGCCGCCGAACCTGAGGAGTCTTACCATCGCGGGCTGTGATAGGATTACCAGTCTGGACTTCGTGCGTGTTCCTAGCCTGCGCTCCTTCCGCTACAGCGGCTGCTTCTCCAACTTGCCTTTATCCATTCCACGCGATGCCGTGCTTTCTGATCTTTATATTCAGTTATATGACTCAGTAACGATGAAAGAGTGGCATATCGATAAGTTGAGGAAATCTCTCCCGAAGGATTTATCCAGACTCAACGTTCTCACCATCAGTTACAAAGCCCTCACGGTACTTTCTCCGAATTCGATCTTGCTTATTATTTCTGGTCTTCTTGTCACTTAGGAGTAACTTTTAGTTGCTTGATTTCCATAAATATGAAAGAAACAAAAATCATGGTTTCCTAACCTAACCATGCCTTTTATTTTAGGGTGCATCTGTCTTGTCAGATGATGGGGTCAGTGCCCAATTGCCCAATTTCAACTTACATGGATTGAAAGAGCTACACCTACTCATGTTACAAACGAAAGCTGTCAACCTAGCTAACCTGTATCTGTTCCTCAAGACCTTCCAGTGTCCTAATCTGGAGAGGCTCTTTGTGCAGGTTAACACAATCAATGCCTTTGTAATTTCTTTGCTTCATAGTCATCCTGTCTTTTTGACTATGGTTCTTTGTAGCTCCCGGCATATAGATTAAAGCCCACGGAAGGTTCTATTGATCAGGTGCGGGAAGAGCCACCGGAAGATGGCTTAGACAACCTTGTCATGATAAAGGTCATGAACTTCAACTGGTGCCCCACCGAGGTGCAGCTAGTGAGTTTTCTATTGAGGAAAGCTAGCTCTCTGCAGAAACTGTTAATAGTTTCTCGCAATGTCACTCCAGTGGATTCGCCCGGTGCACCAGAAGCGGACCTTTCGCTTCTCAAAGAAGCTTTGGTCAATGGCACGATAATGTTTATCGAGTCTGATAATGCAGCAACTCAACCATATCATAAGGCCTATATCAATCTATAGTGCAGTCACCAGTCGAATCAGAGCCCTATGGATAGTAATACTAGCCTATCAGGACATTAACATTTTGGTTGCAGTTCTTACTGAGAAAATTGTAAGATATCAAGAAACCAATGTTGTCTCCTTAATTTCTTTCTTGAATATTACTCCTAGCGAAGTATTAAAAATGCATGGTGTTCCAATATGCTCTTGCTTTGCTGTCTTGGCACCACTCGCATGATGTATTTGGCATATTAATATTATCCTTATGATGATGAATCGGAGCAACTCTGGAGCTTCATATTATCTTTCACAACTCAAACGAATATGAGTTAAGTTGTGGATCACACTTCTCCTATATTTTAGGTGCCTTGAGTTTTCGTTGTTGTTCAGGCTGCATGTAAATTTTTCATTGTTTATTTGGCTAATAGAAAAAAAAGTATGACTTTTGTCTTGTGAGTTGTCCTTTTAATTATACTTGTTGATTGTATAAAATTGGTGCCTGCAAATTCATGCACCTGAAATATAGCAACTCCCATAATGATGTGTTATATCTTATCGGTTATGTTTCTTGTTGATATTTACCTTGAGGTATCAGATTGAATCAAAGTGAAGAGGTCTGTACTAACTTTCATGGCCTGTAGTCTTGTTGCCAACATTTTTTGATATGATAACTTTCAAGAAGTAGCCTGATTGATAAACAGAGTGCAATTCTGATAGTGATGGATTTAATCATCTGTTGTGATTGCCATGGGTTGGGGTGCGAACTAGAGAAGCAAACTTGGTTACAGAATTCTGTTGTCAATGATTTTTCATGGTTTATGGTTGCTAATTGAGTAATGGTTCTCTATCTCCCTTTGCTATGCACCGCATGGAAAAAGGGATTTCTACTCAAATATGTGTAGCACATGGGAGATTGGATAACTTTATGTCATTAAATAGATGAATTGTGATACTAAATTGCTCTTTGGAGCTTGTTGTCTACTTTAAGTAACATTTTTTTTTGTTGGGGTGGGGTGGGGTGGGGGGTGGGGGGCAGCTTAGCCATATTTCTTTGTTATATTTATAGGTACCCTGCACTGTTTACTTTTCTGTGTTATTCGTTTCTTGTTAAGGCTTTCAATAATTATCAAAACACTTCTGAACATTATAGCTAGTGCACCTAGCACACTTTATAATTATAATTGAGCTTTGTGCCTCTTAAATATGAATGTGGGCAGAGAATCTGATATCATTGTTTTTTTTATGTAATATTTCTACTCATGATGAAGCCATTTCTTCATTGTGTTGCCGCTACCAGGACCGGCTACCTTTATGTTTCGGGCCTGATGCCCTGATGCTTCAGCAAGTGCATGGTACTATAAAAGAACCAGAAGTCGAGCTTGCTTTTGCAGTCAAATTGCGCGTGCTTTTCTTGTCTATACATGAGCATCAGTTCAAGTTACAGTTATTTTCTGCTTAAGTCGAGCTGGTACTGCATGCAAAGTTCAATGACCTATTGTACGTACTTAATAAAACTTTATCGGTATGTTTGAACAAATACTGAATCCATGAATCGCAGAATCAATGGATGCTGACAGCAATCTTTTATATGGAGCAGTAATTCTCTAGGTTCCATTCAGCATAGGTGCATTTAGGATTTTGAACAATGCACATATATAATTATTAGAAAAATATTTCAGATATATAGTAGTGCTAAACATAATACAATGCAGCCAGGCTCAATTAGTCAATTATATGAGGATATTTTTTATGGTTGATTGATACCTCAATTATATTAAAATAACTCAGGGAGACAAGGACAGACAATTTAGTCACCTGCAGGACTAAAATTCTGTACTGCATACATTATTGAAAAATAAAATGAAAGCTGGCTCAGTGTTGAACACCAGTTTTGATATTATTGTTAACTCAACAACTTTAATTTTCATAAGTTGATAGGATAATATTTAACTAGTATATGTTAGTACTTTGGTTTCTGTATTACCGAGTGGTGAATTTCTTGAACTAGAGTTCAGAAGTTTATGCATACTATCATTGGTACCAATACCATCTTTTCTTTTTGGTGTTACTTAGTCTATTATATTCATCATCTGATTAGTTTTATGTAGCCTCACGGTCAAAAACTGTTGCTGTGGAGTCTCTTCATGTATGAGTTTTATTTATTATTATATTTTGCATGATCGTTTTCAAGTGTGATTCCGAAGTTTTATCCACCTACTGTAGAGATGCATCTTGTTTTGCCCAAGTACTGACTAGCAAGAATCCAGCCGTAAGAGTTTTTTTTTCTCTTTTATTATTTCAAATAAAAGAAGTATTCTTAATAATGGGAAAATAGAAGAAAAGAAAACGTTCATACCAGTACAAGGTTTATGCATTGCGGCATGGGCCGAAAGCTCAAAATTAAGTCCGCACTCCGTGGGTCTGCTTGAGCGTCCCTGGGCATCAGTTTCGGCCCAGTTCAACAGTCCATCTCTTTTTCGATAGCAGATCGAGGGGACAGAGGGTTTTCCCAAATTGGAGAACGAGGGTGATGGCGATCGGCACCGACGGCGGCGCCGGCGTCTGCAGCGGAGGCGGAGAGAAGAGGAAGAGGGTGGATGAGCTTGGGGACCGATGCGAAGCGGTGGATCGCATCTCCGCGCTGCCGAACGAGCTGCGGCAGCACATCCTGACGCACCTCCCCCTCAAGGACGCCATTCGCACGGGGGCGCTCGCGCGCGGGTGGCGCGACATGTGGAAGGGCCAGTGGGCGTACCCCGCCTCTGTCGAGGTCCAACTCCGCTCCCGCGACGCCCTACTGAGGGAGCTCGACGCGCTGGCTCGCGAGCCGCGCCCGCGTCGCCGCCTCGACCGCTTCTCCCTCGTCGTCGAGACCAGCAAGCTCAAGTCCTCGGAGCTCCGACGCTTCACCGAATACGCTGCCGAGTGCCGCGTCGAGGACCTCCACATCGAGATGCGGAAGAGCAGCAAGCTCAACTTCCACCCGCCGCTATCGAGCCCGCTCCCGCGCGCCTCGCGCTCCGCCGCATCAGCATCTCCAGCATGTACTACAAGGACGCCCAGCCGTTCCACGCTCTCGAGGTCATCCGGCTCTACTCAGTACCCATTAAGGTGGGGTTTGACAAAATCATGGCGCTGTGCCCAAGCCTCATCACTCTTGACCTGTGCGGCTGCCATTGTGACTTCAAGAGACGCTGGACCATCATGCATTGGAACCTGAGGAGCGTCACCATCGTGGAATGCGACGGATACACCAGAGCGAATTTGGCCTGTTTGCCTAGACTTGGCTCCTTCCGCTACAGTGGCGACTTCCTCGAGATGCCGTTCTTCGTTCAAAGCCACACCGCGCTTGCTGATCTTTATATTCGGTTTACTGACCCAGTAAAAGAGGTTAACCATAAGTTGAAATATTGTTATTTCCCAAAGGATTTATCCGGCCTCAACGTCCTCACCATATGTTGCAATGCCCTCCCGGTATGTTCTTTGTATTGGATTTTATTTTATCTGGTCTCCTAATCACCTTGCTACAAGTTGTTTGATTTTATAAAAAATAAAAATACAAAGGTCTTTTAACCTAATCATGCCTTTTTTTTAGCTTTTCTCTTCGTTGCCAAATATTCGACCAAGTGCCCCAAGGCCCAGCCTCAACTTACACGGTTTGAAAGAGCTACAGCTCCTCATGTTAGAAATGGAAACTGTTAACCTTGCTGGCCTCTATGTGTTCCTCAAGGCCTGCCAATGTCCTAATCTGGAGAGGCTCTTTGTGCAGGTATACCTTCAATGTTTTCTAAATTCCATTGCTTCATAGTCATCCTGAGATCTTGTCTAATTGTAATGCTTGTGGATGATTATGGTTCATCTTTGTAGCTCCCAACATTTAAATATTTGCCCAAGAAAGGTTCTGTTGATGAGGTGAGGGAAGAGCCACCGCAGGATGGCTTAGAGAACCTTGTGATGGTAAAGGTCACGAACTTCAATTGGTGCTGCATTGAGGTGCAGCTAGTCAGTTTTCTATTGAGGAAAGTTAGCTCCCTGTGGAAATTATTAATAGTTTCACCCAATGTCACTCCACTGGATTTGCCCGGTGTACCAGAAGCAAGCGTTTTGCTTCTCAAAGAAGCTTTGGCCAGTGGCAAGATAGTGTTTAGGGAGTTTGATGATGGTGCAACAGAACCGTATCATTCTGAGGTTTTTACCAAGCTTTAATTGTCAGTGATCAGTCAAGTCAGAGCCCTTTGGATAGTAATAACTATCTGTTCACTATCCTTTTGGTGGTAGCTCTTATAGATAATATATGA